GTGCCACCACCAACCAAAGAGAATGTGGCCTTTATCCTGTTTCCTCAGACACTGGCTCTTTATCCAACCCATCCTCTGAATCTTTGTTTGGTGTTTTTTAAATTTATGTTTATTTTTTATATTTCTTTTGACCTCTGAATCTTCACACAGAGTTCAGGTTAACTGAGTGCAACTAAAGCTGAGGAAATGCAAAGGGAGAAGTTCGATCACTCAGTTAGCTTGTCGAAGACACTCTTAGAAGATGGGAAATTGTGTGGGCCTTGAAGATAGGACCCTTGTTAGGCAGTGGTAAGTCCAAAGAATAGGAAATCCTCTCCACCTGCCATATTAGAAGGGCTTTCCAGTTCCAAAAGAATTTGTGGCAAAACTCATGCCATGAGAGTGAGTCTCCCATGGGTGTTAGGCTGACCAGCCTTGCTTACTGTGCTGATTGCTTGGCATCAGACTCAGCCAGCAAGGGTTTACCCTATGTCCATCCTAACCCAGTTCTCTTTGTCACTGAACTGTTGTCCATCTGTTTCATTACTGCATCAGCTTTTTACCTGGTTACTTTCTGGCGCCCATTTCTTGCCTAGGCCTATTTTTTTTCCCTCACCCTCTTCAACTTAAACTTTCTGCTAAAAATGAAAAATAAACGTTGATTTGGAACTTCAAACTTTACATTAGCTAACATGCTCTGCCAAAGCACTGATCCTGAGCACCTGCCAGATGATGTTTTTATTGCTTTTAGTTTCATTGTAGATGACAAAATACATGGAATTGGATTTCTTTTTCCCAGGATTTGGTGGTAGTTTATGTCAACAGCAGATGGCATTTTCTGATTGAAAGTATTTATGAACAGTTTGATTATTTTTTTCTTTCTTTTTTTTTTTTTTTGAGATGGAGTTTCACTCTTGTTGCCCAGGCTGGAGTGCAATAGCACGATTTCAGCTCACTGCAACGTTCGCCTCCTGGGTTCAAGCAATTCTTCTCCCTCAGCCTCCTGTGTAGCTGGAATTACAGGTGCCAGGCTAGTTTTTGTATTTTTAGTAGAGACGGGGTTTCGCCATGTTGACCAGGCTGGTCTCGAACTTCTGACTTCAGGCGATCCACCCGCCTTGGCCTCCCAAAGTGCTGGGATTACAGGTATGAGCCACTGTGCCTGGCCCAGTTTTATTCTTCAGATCCTTTCTGATGTTGCTGGATCACCTTGGACTATGAGTTTCATGTAGCTTATAAACATTGAGAGGAGGTGCAAACTGAAGCTTTGAAAAGTTGACACCAAACATCACAACTGAGGCAATCATTGCCCCTTGCTTAGACTCATAATCTACTGGTTTCAAATGACTTTTATTTTAGGGGACTATATACTTTCCTTGAAATTGCTAGAAAACTCCACAGAGATTTTTCCTGGGTTATTGTGTTATCTTCAGTTCTAATTTTGATGGGTGAGCCAAAAGCAGATCGTATCCAGCCCAGGTTACCTTTATAATGTCAAGCGATTGTTCTCTCACAGACTTTAGCCAAAAATTTTTAGAGAAAAGACTTTTAAAAACCTTCCTCCCTACCCGACACCCTGTCCAATTATAGTTGATACTTTAAGCTCTGACTCTCAAGCTTCTGTGAGCAAAATCTTTGGCAGAGTAGCTAATGTTACATAATCAATTTGGGGGGATTTGAGCTACATGAAAAAGAGTTCCTGATACCATTCTGTGAAGTCTGCTAAACAGCTTAACTCTTATCAGTGAACAAATAAATAAGCTTCATGCATCTCTATTCCTCTACTGGGAACTGAAGATAATGGGAACTTAATTATAAATCAGGAAAATGAAAATCCTTAAGTTCTGACCTTTTTCATAGCCCAAAGCAAACAAAACAGTAAGATGCTACATAATTTACGCCCATTCTCTAGTGTATGAATTTTGGATTACCAATGGCAAGTGTAAATTTCATATTTGTGACGTACTCCAGGATATTAGTAAATTACCATAGAGATACAGACAACTAAAGAAGTTAGTATATCACCTTATCAAAGACGTTTTAAGATAACCTTGAAATTACTCATAGAATGGAAAGACATCCATGGATTAGAAGACTTAGTATTATAAAGATGGCAGTACTACTCAAAGTAATCTAAAGATTCAGTGCAATCTTGACCAAAATTCTAGTAGGTATTTTTGCAGAAATAGGAAAGCTGATCCTAAAATTCATATAGAATTGCAAGGGACCCTGAATAATCAAAACAGTCTTGAAAAAGAAAAACAAAGTTTGTGTATTCATGCTTCCCAATTTCAAAAGATACTACAAAGCTATAATAATCAAAATAGGTACAGGCATAAGAATAGACATGTAGATTAGTGGAATAAAACTGAGTCCAGAAGTGAACCCATACATCTGTGATCTTGAGAATAGTGCCAAGATGATTCATTGGGGAAAGGATAATCTCTTTAACAAATGGTGCAGGTAAAAGTGGATATCTACATTCAAAAGAATGAGGTTGGACCCCACACATAATAAAGTTAACTCAAAATGGATCAAAGACCTAATTCTAAGAGGTAAATCTATAAATTCTTAGAAGAAAACATAAGGGTAAATCTTCATGACCTTGGATTTGGTAATGGATTCTTAGAAATGACACCAAAAGCACAAGCAAGAAAAGAAAAATAAATTGAACTGCATCAAATTTTAAAATTTTGCATCAAAGGACACTGTCAAGTAAGTGGAAAGGCAACCTGCAGAATGGGAGAAGATATTTGCAAATCTGCTAACAAAGAAAACTCTTAACAAGTGAACAGCAGAACAGATAACCCAATTAAAATGTGAGCAAGGGACCTGAGTAGACTTTTCTAAAGATATGCAAATGGCCAATAAACATATGAAAATATTTCCAGGGTCATTGGTCATTAAGAAAATGCAAATCAAAGCCACAATGATATACCATTTCACACCCACTAAGATGGCTGTACTTTAAAAACAAAACGAAACCAGAAAATTACAAGGATTGATAAGGATGTGGAGAAATTAGAATCTTGTACTTTGCTGGTGGGAATGTAAAATGGTGAAGTCACTGTGGAAAACAGTTTAGTAGTTTAAAAGTTCCATATAGAATTAACATATGACCCAGCAATTCCACTCCTAGTTATATGTCCAGTAATTGAAAACAGGTATTCAAACAAATACTTGGACACGAGTGTTCTTGGCAACACTATTCACAATTGCCAAAAAATACAAACAACCCAAATGTCTATCAGTGAATGAGTAGATAAGCAAGATGTACATCTATACAGTAGAATACTTTTCAGCCATAAAAGGAATGAAGTACTGACGCATGCTATAATGTAGATGAACTTTGAAATATGCAAAGTGAAAGAAAGCCAACCCAAAAGGTTACATATTGCTTGATTGCATTTATATGAAATATCCACAAGAGGTAAATTTATAGAGACATAAAGCATATTAGTAGTTATCAGGAGTTGGAGGAGGAGGAAGAATAGGAGTGACTGCTTAATGAGTTCAGGGTTCATTTTGAGGTGATGAAAATATTTTGGAACTATGTAAATGTAATGGTGGCACAACATTGTGAATGTGCTAAATGCCACTGAATTGTACATTTAAAAATGGCTAATAGTAAGTTATGTGAATTTTATTTCCATTTTTAAAATTACATCAGATAGTTTCTGTGATCTCACAGATAACTGTGGCTTTGCTGTCATGGTTACCTTGTGACTGTTGGAACCCATGTGCTTTGTAGCATTAGTACATTGGGAAGTTCTTTCCAACTGTGGACAGGAAAATGTGAAGACTGATGATCCCAAGTGGGTTTCTCCCTAAACTAACAGTTAAGGAATATAGTTTCACTGTTGGATTTTTATTTGTTGAAACTGGTAAAGCCTCTCTCTACCTTGAATGGGTCTGGGGTTGTTTTACAATTTATCAGACCAGATTGGTTTGATATTGTTTTCTTCATTTAATTTGAAAAAGCATGTTTAAAGTAACTTTATTTGGAGATGGAATAATATTTTGGTTTTATGAAAGTGTGAAGGAACTGTAAAAGAATCTAAGACATACTTATGAAATTGCAGTCAGGTTTTTCTGTTGGTTTTGTATGCTGCACTGCTACAGATTTTTGTGATACTTTCTAAAATCATTTCAAATGCTTTTTTTTTTTACTGTCAGTGGCATTGGTATCATAAATAAGAAAATTGTATTCAGATCAGTCAAGCAGAGTCTGTGCAAAAACAAAAAACATGATTTTTTTATTTTTATCTCATCTGTTTTGTTTTTTGAAGGAGGAGCTGTAGGCTATATTCTGGCAAATGATCTGAGAAGAGCTTCTTACTCAGAAAGCTAGAAGTGTTTTACCAATTATTATGAAGCTTTTCTTTATGAATGAGGCTGTTGCTTCTGGCCCACAGTCAGTGCTGTTTTATGGAGACTTGTTTTTCCAGCAAACATTGTCTTCCACACTCCTACCTGGTTCCTCTTATGATCCAAAATATGCTGTCCAGACTAAAAATGTGTAGATGTGAAGCAAACAAAGCTAACTGGTCTGTCAGGGATTGAATCCATAGCTTTTGGCATCATCTGAATCAACCAGTCAGCTGGACTACTGCCTTGCTTAAGTAAGGTTGTTGCAATTTTAAAGTTAGAAGGGATCTGGCAAGCACAAAAATATTTGGAATAAATGTAATAAGCTAAACTAGTAGATAAATATAAGTATTCAGCTTAAAATAATTATTGCTTCTGACTTTCACAAAATTAGGTTTCCTCTGTGTGAGGTTGATAGGATTACTTATTTATTTAGAGATAGGGTCTTGTTCTGTTGCCCAGGCTGAAGTGCAATGGCATGATTACAGCTCACTGTAACCTTGAACTCCTGGGCTCAAGTGATCCTCCTGCCTCAACCTCTCAAGTAGCTTGGACTATGGGTGCATGCCATCGTGCTGGCTTTTTTTTTTTTTTTTTTTTTTTTAACTTTTGTAGAGACTATGGTGCCCGGGTTGGTCTTGAACTCCTGGTCTCAAGCAGTCCTCTTTCTCAGTCTCCCAAAGGATAACTTTTAAAAAATAAGCAAAGGTGAGCTTTAAGTTAGGGAGAATTAGAAGTTGTTTTTCAGTAAATTATTAATAAGGAAAGATTTTCAAGAGCTAATTTAAGTAGACATTAAGCTGCTTTAACTAGGCATACCAGGACAGAAGTAGAAAAAGTGAAATGGATGGATGAGACTGTAGGTTACTGCACAATTACATTTGCCCAGGGACCCCTAACCATGAACAGCAGCATAGTGCATAATGCTTTTCTTTGGGCAATTTACCTAACAAGTTTCCTCATCTGGGTTATTAGAATATAGAATCAACCTCATAAGGTCATTATAAAGATTGGATTAATGTACTTAAAGCTCTTGGAACAATGTCTGATGCAATGTAAAGCTAGATATGTTTGTGTTAAAATCATAAGATGCTAGTGTTAAGATAACTAGAAGCCACTTTGATGAAGGAGTTTTCTTTTTTTTAAGGGGCAAACAAGGGGCAAACCTGTTTACATTCATGGATGCTCATAGTTATGATGTGCTAGTCAAGATACACTAGTCTAGTGTACCAGTGCCTGGACATCTGTTGGAAGTTCTGAGACCTTCTGGTATACTCACATTGGAACCATTTTACTGCTAATGGGCATCTCAACCAAAGAGAATTGTTCAAGAAAGAAATAAGAACTCAAAACAGTGGTTTTTCAACTGTTTCCCAAGTAATTTTAAGATCCAATAAAGCATCTCTGGTTGTCTGTTAAAAACATAGTTACTGTCTCATTCATTCACTGCAAGTGTCCATGATGAAATAGGGGTAATGGTCAGAGACAGAGATGAAAACAGTTCCTTGGCCTGGAACTTACAGTCTGGGCCACTTTTGTACCTCTAGAATCCATACCAGGAAAACCTGAATGGAAGAATGTCAGAAACTAGGACATCCTTGAAGTTATAAAGCCACACAGCTGTTAATATTATTTCTGCCAAGCTATCTCAAACTTAGCTGAGAGAGAGAAATGGAAACTCTTTGGCTGAAAGAGCATGAAAATTACAGATTTTGTTCTGATCTGTTATCAGAGACCATTGAGTTTGCTTTATTTCTATGTTCTAGTTTCTACTAGGAATTTTAATAGTTTCAAATTTCTGGTTTGTATTTCAGTAACCTCTTTTTACCCTTCTTGTCTCACTGGTTTTTCTGTGTATGTGTAGTTCTGGTGAAAATGAATTAGGAAAGGAGACTGATGAGATTGGATAACTCAGCATCCTAAAATGTTTTCTCATGAAGTGATGATGTGCTGCTTCTTTCATAGGACTGAAATGCAACTCCAAAAGCAACATGCGACCCTTTAAAGATGCTTGTGGGACTGCATAAAGTGAAGAGGGAAACTGGAGAAAACAATGAAGTAAGGAAAAAGTATGTTTTCCGGGTAAACAGCATGCTTCTGAGCTTTCACAAGTTTCTTGCTATAGTAGTTACCACACCTTTGTAATGCATAAGTGTTTATAGTCATATTTAGTCTTTGCATTGCTATTAAACATTATTTATTTTCTCTTCCCTTGTTTTGTATTGCTGAACTCTTTGATCAAATGATTCTTTTTTGGATTAATCTAAAAATCTGCATTGAGTCTACAACTTAGATGATTCTTCAGTCATTTAATAGGAATGTGTTATATAGGTTGACCATTGAGATCATAAGAGTATCCTGTGTTGTGTCTCTGTGATGTGTAGGGTGAGTCAAAGTGTCAGCTTTTAGTCTGAGTGCAGAACTTACACTTGATTGACTTGAAAAAACTAGAAAACTAGTTTGTATACAATCAATTATTCAAGCTGTATTCTCAGATTACAATATATGTGGCACTACAACACATCTCTGGCATCTGTGGAATAGGAAATCTTTGAAAAAAAATAACTAGTGTATTTAATGATAGGCATATATTCACAGCATACTGTTACATTAAAAAGTAGTTACAAAACATATTACAATTTAAATCGCGAAAACTCTTTTTAATGCGAAATACGGAAGACAAAGCAGACTAGCAAACAATCATCATAAATAGACATAGCCTACAGTTGATAAAATAGATATGCCTTAGTAAGCTTTTTAAATAAACCACATCTTTTACATTATTTTCCATTATTTAAAAAACTTTCTTGGCTGGGCACAGTGGCTCGTGCCTGTAATCCCAGCACTTTGGGAGGCCGAGCCTGGTGGATCACAAGGTCAAGAGATGGAAATCATCCTGGCCAACATGGTAAAACCCCGTCTCTTTTTTTTTTTTTTTTTTTTGAGACGGAGTTTCACTGTTGTTACCCAGGCTGGAGTGCAATGGCACCATCTCGGCTCACCGCAGCCTCCGCCTCCTGGGTTCAGGCAATTCTCCTGCCTCAGCCTCCTGAGTAGCTGGGATTACAGGTATGCGCCACCATGCCCAGCTAATGTTTTTTTGTATTTTTAGTAGAGACGGGGTTTCACCATGTTGACCAGGATGGTCTCGATCTCTTGACCTTGTGATCCATCCGCCTCGGCCTCCCAAAGTGCTGGGATTACAGGCTTGAGCCACTGTGCCCGGCCAACCCCGTCTCTTCTAAAAATACAAAAAAAAAAAAAAAAAATTAGCCAGGCGTGGTGGCCAGCTCCTGTAGTCCCAGCTACTCAGGAGGCCGAGGCAGGAGAATTGCTTGAACCCAGGAGGCCGGAGGTTGCAGTGAACCGAGATCGTGCCATTGCACTCCAGCCTGGGCAACAGAGTGAGACTCTGTCTCAAAAAAAAAAAAAAAAGAAACTTTCTTCAGTAAGCCGAATAGAAATTTTTAGAAAGAGAGAAAGAAATAGAGGCAGAGTCATTGATGATATGTGATGCTAGAAGTTCTGTACAACTTCCTTATACAACTCTATGGCAACATCTCTCTCCTTCTCCACAAGCCTGGCGACCACTAGCCCATGGGAATTTTCTCACAAGTGTAACTTCTGGAATTTTATGTCTTGTGGTGGGCATTTTCCCTATGCTTCAGTAATGGATTGCTGCAGGCCTAATATTGGCTGTATGGTATATTCCACCTTGATCATTATTTAATTTTGAGTCTTAAAGTTGAGTAAAACTGTTTAGTGGCTTTATATATCAATCCTCTAAACTAAAAATGTCATAAGACACATTTTTCATGTACACATCTTCTAGTGCTCACTCTTATACTGGTCTCTTGGCTTTATCACATTGGTCTCTTGGCTGTGCTTCAGTCAGCCCAGAAACATTCCTGTTTTGGAGCCATTGTTCTTGTTCCCTCTGCCAGGAATCATCTTCTCCCAGATAGTCATATGGCTACTGGCTACTCCCCTCCTTCTTCAGGTTTCTGCTCCAAAGTTACCCTACCAAAGATGCCTTCTATGGTATCCTCAATTGAAAATGATACCTTACCATACCCTGGAATCACTCTATCCTTCTCTGTTTTTTTCTATAGCATTTATCACCATCCAGCCACTGTAGATACATTTGAGTGGCAGTGTCTCTGCCATCCCTTCATACCCAGTACCTTCCCTGCCTGAACTCCTCATTGAGGGCAAGACCTTTATCCCCAGGATCTAAACCAGTGCTGGACAATAGATGCTCAGTAAGTATTTGTTGGGTGAATGAATGAAGCTTGCTTATGTTAGGAGGATTAAGGAGATTTGGAGATCATGTGATTGGATTGAAAATGATTAACAGGGAAAATGTTGTAGAGGAAGTATCTTAAACTGTATATTAAAAGCCTGATAAATAGCAGGGCTTAAAAATCATTGTCAAAGATAGTTCTTTGATCTAGAAGGTAATTTAGAGCCACTTTAGGAATATAAATAGCAGATCAGATATTTACACTAAAAAAACCAGACATAAAATATTAAACAGAAATGTCTCAGTTGAACCACTCTTTTTGTTAACCTCCCAATCTTTTACCATCAATTGTTACGATAAATTTAAAGTGAATCCACAACTTAGGTGATTTCTTCGATCATTTAATAGGAAATGATCTTACCCTCACAGACTCTGCGACAACTTGTTTTGAGGAAGGTGTGGGCATCAACATTTTAAAAGCTGCCTGGTGAATTTCTTGGGCACTCAAGCTTGAGGACCAGGAATACTATCAGTTTTTCTATGTTAATGATGACTGTGATTACTTTAAATTTATCATAACAATTTAACCTCCCAATCTTTTACCATCCATATGACCCAATTGGCAGTTATACTGTAATGGATGACATACGGATGGTAAAAGATTGGGAGGTTAACAAAAAGAGAGTGGTTCAGCTGAGTGGTGACCTGAAAGAAGAATACCATGGTCTGGGTAGAGGGAACAGGTGGACCCTAGCAATGCCTGTTGTGTTAGAGAACTGGTAGGATGGGGACATTGCATATGACTGGAGGTTGCGGTGGGGGAAGGTTAATGGGAAAGTCAAAGCCAAACTGGAGTCACTGAGAGTTTTTATATGTCAGTCTCTGTAGCTACTACCTGGTGACACCGAGCCAGCTTGTCTAACTCTAGCTTACCTCATTTCTGCCAGCCTGCTTCTACGTATGAAGTATGATGTTTATTCTACACATCATGTTTTTTCTCTTCCCCCTTTAAGGTCTTTTAAAATTAATCTTTCACTTTTAATGGCACATACCATCTGATTCAACAATTAATATAGCATTTCTAGAAATTTATCTTACATATGACCTCATACAGGTATGCAGGTAGTCCTAGAGTACCTCAGCCTCTGTGAAATCCTCATGCATGCCTTGTACCTCATTAACACTCGGACAGAGAATAAATATCTATTGCTGCCATCGCTCTGTTGTGGCCATGTCTTGTCCCCCTCCACTGGTTCTGGTATTAACTGCCTACCTCTTTGCCTAAACTGCAGTGGACTAGAGACATTTGCACGGGAGCTAACTGTGTCTCCTCGCAGGTTTCTTCTTTTGAACAATTTGTTCCTTATGGCAGTCTTTTGCCTCCCATTTGTGAATATTATGAATGGTTATAGTAATACATTTTTACTTTGCATTTTTAAAAATATTTAGATAATTAAATATATAGTAGTGGGTGTCTCTACTTGGCTGCACATTAAAATCACCTTAGAAGCTTTATAAAATACTAATCCCTGGTCTCACCCGCAGAGACTCTGAGACAATTTGTTTTGGGGGAGGTGTGGGCATCAACATTTAAAAAGCTGCCCAATGAATTTAATGTGCACTCAAGCTTGAGGAGCAGGAATACTATCAGTTTTTCTATATTAATGATGATCGTGGTCACTTTAAATTTATCATAACAATTTAAATGGTTCCTTTGTGTTTTATAAGTTTATAATGGTGTTATGTTAAAAAAGTATATATAGCCTCTGCCTTTGTTGTATTTGTGTGTCTCATTCATTTTTATGTTGCATTTTGTTGGAACTTCGGATACTGTATTAACAGTGATGATAAACTGCTTATTTTGTGCTTATTTTTAATGACTGCGTAGCTTGTTTTTTCCCTTGAAGTATAATTGGCATTTGGGTCAATAAGTAGCTACTCAATCAGAGTAAGAAAATATATCTTTATTATTAGTTTTAGAATTTTAAAATTAAAAATAGGTGTTACATTTTAACAAATGAATTTTTAAAATTTCTATTGACATAAGTAAAAATTTAAATCTATTCCTAGATTCTATTTACTATTCTTTTAAATTTTTGAGCATAAATTCAGAGCAAGCTTTGTTTATAGTTTTCTCTCTTTCCGTTTCATTTAGCCAGTTTTAGGGTCAGATTAGTAGAATAATTAGATAACTTATATATTGACCTGTTTTTGGCATGATTTCTCTAACATGAATTGTTTTCTTCTGGAGACTATGAAAGAATTCACTAACTACTTTTTAGGGGTGTAGTTATTTGATTTTTCTTTTCTGTCTTTTTTTTTTTTTTTCCCCAAGAACTCAGATTACAGCAATAAGAATGAGCTTGGAAAGTTATTTGATTTTTTTTAAAGATGTTGGTCCAGTAGGTATTTTATTTTTACCGGTGTTAGAATTTTACATTTTTAATTAAAAATATCTATTTAGTTTTGTCCAAATTTATTAACACACATATTCTCTTACAATTTTATTGCTTCTTTTTATGTCTTGTTTTTCCCATTTTATGTTTCCTTTTTTTTTTGTACTTACCAGTAGTATCAATTTTAGTCTGTTCACAGCAACTTTTAGTTGAAATATAAAACTTTAAAAAATACAGAAGGATGTAGTGAAAAATTAGTTTCCCATTCATTCTTATTCCTTGGGCAGATAGTTCCCCTCTTTAGGCAGCAGCTCCTGTCAGTTTCTTAACAATCCTTCAAAAGTTTTTTGGTTTTCACTTTCAAAATATCTAACATTTCTTTTTTTTTTTTTTTGAGACAGAGCTTCGCTCTTGTTACCCAGGCTGGAGTGCAATGGCATAATCTCGGCTCACTGCAACCTCCGCCTCCTGGGTTCAGGCAATTCTCCTGCCTCAGCCTCCTGAGTAGCTGGGATTACAGGCACGCGCCACCATGCCCAGCTGATTTTTTTGTATTTTTAGTAGAGACGGGGTTTCACCGTGTTGACCAGGATGGTCTCGATCTCTTGACCTCGTGATCCACCCGCCTCGGCCTCCCAAAGTGCTGGGATTACAGGCGTGAGCCACCGTGCCTGGCCCACATTTCTTTTTTTTTTTTTTTTTTTTTAAATTCCTCTAGATTCTCCTGTTTGTTTCTCAAGATTATTAGTTGTGTATTTAGCTCTTATTTTTATTTTTCAGTAACACAGAAAGCAGTACTGCCCTCTATTTTTTCATGGTATATAATTCCTTATGTAATGACTTTGTTACATTTTCCAGCTTCATTATCCTTGTTTCAGAGCCTATCTCTTGCAAACAGAATGTTGTTGGTTTTTTCTCTGTTTAACCTGTCTTTGAAGGTTCTTTATGTGAGAATTTATATTCTTTAATTTATGATTGCTATTGTATTTATGTTTTCTGTATGTTTTCTTAGTTTTTACATTTGTTATTTCTTCTCTGTTATGTCTTCTGTTTTACATAACATTCTTTGCTTTCTTTTAGCTTTTAAACAAATTTTAAAGGTGAACAATCTTTCAAATTCTCTTAGTGCTAAAAATAACATTTGTTGTATTTATTTACTATCATTAAAGCAAAAGCAAGAACTTGTCTTTTCTTCCATATAAGGAAATTTAACTTCTCCCTTTTTTGGCATCTTCTCTTCCTATTCTTTATCTACCCTACCTCCTCAATTATTTTTTTCTTTCACATCTTACATTTATTCTATGAAGTGTCTTAATTCTTCCGAGCTTCAGCATGGTACTCATAAGTATGTTGCTATTTTTGATTCAGTTAGTTAACAACCACTGAGGCCTCAGTCTGAGTCAACAGATCCTGAGCCGGGTGCAGGAGATACAAAGGTAAAGGCAGTTCTGTCCCTGCCTTCAAGGTTGATAAGGTGGCATGATGTGCAAATCAGCCAATAATGGCAAAAGATGTGATGTGTCAGGTGTATTGGAGACAGAGAAAGAGAGGAAGTGATGTTTGGTGAGTCAGTGAAGGCACCCTGGGAACTAAATGTTACTGTACATACAGCAGGGCTTTGTGAGAAGAGGACAAATTGAGAGGACAGAAGTCTGAAGGTGCACATACATCACCCTGTTCTTGGGAGAGTGGCTGGAGATGAGCCTGGACAAGGGATGTTGGGGCCAGATTGTGAAGCACCTTGAATGATGGGCATCAAGTTTCGGTTTGTTTACTGTGGTCTATACCATAGAGGGTTTAAAGCAAGGAAGTACCATGTTCTAGTTCATTTTTTAGAAAGATAATTCTGGCTGTCATGTGAAACACAGCCTGCATGGAGGGAAGTCATTTAAGCAGCTGTGGCAGTTGTCCAGATAAGAGGTGAGAGCAACTTGAGCAAGGGGGTAGCATTGATGATGGAGAAGAGGAGATAAGAGGCATTTTGAGGCAGAATCTAAAATTACTAGTGCCTGCCATTGGGGAGATTGGGAGTTGGAGCATGCCTCAGAGGAGTTTTTTTTTTTGTTAGTTTTAGGGAAGGTGATGATAGATGGTGGAACTACTGAACAACTAGGGAGTGGCATAACGGGGGTGGAGTGGGTACAGAGAGTAATTTGGAGAGAAGCAGGAGAGAGTTTATTTTAGGACTTGTTGGATGTCTAGGAAAACATCTATGAGCAGTTGGAAATATAGATCAGAAACTCAGGTGAGATGTTGAGGCTAGAGATAAAGGTGTGAGACTGACTTGTACCAAGGAGGATATAGAAGCCATAAGAAGAGATATAGTATCCGTCAAGTAGAACATGTACGGAAAATAAAAGGTCTTAGAATGGGCTGTTGGCAAAGGTCAGTCTTTCAGGAAATTGAAACATGTTGAGCACTGTAATAGTCTCCAGCATGGGGTGGCTAGAGCTTTTTCAGATGGCTGGCTTTATCTTCACATCAGCCTTATGCATGGAATTATTAGTCTGCTTTGTAGATATGGAGACTAAGGTGTTGTTACTAAGTTAGGAAGTAGGATTGCAAACCAGGCCCAAATGCCAAGTCCATGCTAGAGAAAGAAGTAGAGGAGATACAGAAAATT